GTGTGAGTGTTTTAAGCAATAATTGATATATATATATATATATATATATATATATATTACTCGTAACAATTTTTAGTTGTGATACATTAACATCCCATGTTAAAAAAAAGAAAAAGACAAAAAAAAATTTACTAAATATAATTTGGGACTAATAAAAAATTATTTAATTAAAAAAAATATAAAACCATTCCCTCTCTCCTCTTTCCTTAGTTCGGCCTCTAATTTTGTCAAAAGTCTCACAACCATTAACCATAAACATGGAGTTTGTGTTGGGATGCTCCGGTGTCATCATCATTAAAATAGGATAAATACATGTAATTTTGGTGTCAATGGTCTCAAACTTACATGTTTACCAATTTATTCAATTTGTATTAATCTTTTATTTATTTTGATCAACATTTCCTTGTTAAACTGTTGAGGATTTTCAGTAGCATGAAATAACAGTAAAAAGGAAGCCATGAAAGAGAAACATAGAAAGCTCATATGATCTTCAATATATCATATGTAGAAGAAAAAAAATGATATATAATACCCTTATTTTGAACCTCAGATACATGTTCGTATTGACTTTCCACATATCATATTTACCTGTATCAAAAAGTTTCACACGGAAATAGTCTATCAGATGATGGTTTTTTTTTCCCAATCATAAGACATACTAATAAATCATTACTATCAGTGTCAAAAAATAAAAAAGCAATACTATCAAACAAAAAAAGAACACTAATTAAATATCAGATTTGGTTTCTTTAAGTAAGATTTTAAATTTAGGTAAAAAAAAATATTTAATGAGAAGATTTTATTAAAAATGTTCAACTAAATCTCATAACAAAAATTAATTATCAACAAAGTTTATGAATATTTTGTATTGATAATATAAATTAAAAAAATGTAAGATACATTTAAAAAATTTAAAAAAAGAAAAGACATATTAGCACTTCTCATTTTAAAAAGGGGCATTTAAAATGCTTTAGTACCACATATGACAAAATTGAAACAAAAGAATTAGGATTAAATTGAAACATTAAAAACATGCTTGATTTCAAGAAAATTTTGTAGCTTTCAGCTTTTTCACAAATAATTTTAAAGTGCCACTTTACTTTTTTTTATTTCTTACTTAAATATAACCAAAAAATAATTTTTTTTTAAAATTTTCTATATAAATTTTGAAGACAAAAATCAAAGTAAAAATAAAAAAGTTTTCCTTTTCTATTTTTAATTGTCATAAATATTGCAAAAGCATCGCATGAGATTAAAATAATATATAAAAATATTACAATTTTAATTAGTCATTGTTTTACAAAATATTTTAAGTTTTACTTTTAAAATTAAGTAAATAAAGACATATGAAAGGTCAAGATCAGGGAAAACATTTTTCTTTTATATGAGACAATTTTATTTGAGTAAGATCAATATTGTCGACAATTTTCTACCTTTGACCTTGAGGAAGTGTAACGACCCGCCATGATCTTTACTGGAATCACACTACTAGTGAACTAAGAGAATATTAAAACTGGATAACTCATACATATAGGTATATATAAATATAATAATAAAACTATGTTTCTATGTACAAAATATAACACTAAATATGTACAGTCATCCAAATAATATCACCCTAGTGTCGGTCAAGCACGACTAGTCAACACTCCAACAGACTCTGACACTGGGACAAAACACCTGATCTTGTCAGTAGCAGCCCCCACCAACTCCAACCTAACCCTGACCTGCTCCCATACATAGTATGATCATCGTAGTCCATCCACATGGAAACAGAAGGGTAAGCTAGACCTCAATAAACAACCATACAAGCATAAGAATAAATATTTATGCTACTCAACTGTAACACCCCAAATTTTCTACTAATAGACTATTTATTATTATTTTATTTTTATATTTATGAAAATTATTTTCTTATAATTGTTTTAGTTAATTAAAGGGGTTTTATAGAATATTGTAAATGTTTGTAATAATTTAAATTATTTATGAATTTTTTTTATAAAATTGTTTTTTAAGGCTGGAACGGGCTATTCCAAAACTGGAACGGGCGTTCCAAACGATGAAAATAAATTATTTCTGAAGTAGCAGAACGGGTCGTTCCAAAAGTGGAACGGGCCGTTCCAAATTTGTAAAAAGGCCCATTTGGGTTTTTCCAGAACAGGTCGTTCCTAAAGTGAAACGGGCCGTTCCAAGATTCTAAAAATGCCTAAAAATCCAAGTTAGAAACGGGTCGTTCCAATGATGGTCAATGAGTGTAAAAATGAACTCCAGAACGGGCCGTTCTAATTTTAGAACGGGTCGTTCTGCGTTTTGAAAATGGACATTCTGATTTTAGAAGGAGTCCTTCCAGTTAAAAATTTTACATATATTCAAAGGATCCAAAACGGGCCGTTCCGGGTACCCCTGGATGCCTATAAATAGGAGGCAGGAGGGTGAAAAAAATTATAACTGAGTGAGAAGGTGCAAATTTTAGAGAGAGAGAGAGAGAGAAAGAAAGAAAGAGAAAGAGAGAGAAAGAAAAAGAGGGAATCCTGAGGAAGAAAGTAACAAGGTCCTGCTCAAGTTTCAATTCCTGTTTATCCAGGTAAAGGGGGGAGTGAGAAATCTCGCTCGGGGGTGTGAGAATAGTTGTTGGATAGTCTGATTGTCGGGTTGGCCCCCAATCCCTTGCTTGTTGCATGCTTCTAGGAACATGCAACGTATTAATGTGTTCTGTTTTACTTTCTGTTTGCTCTACTTTATTCCTTGTTGGAAGTAATAAATGAATATGTAATTAATGTTAAAAATAAATAAGTTTTAATATGAATAAGAATGCTCTCTGTGGATTCCTGTGCGGACCTTATGAAGAATAATTATGACATGACCATGTGAAATATGCACATATAACTCCAGGTGTGCTGCTTATGCCGCATATAAGAATGGACTATTGAGACAAGTTGTGATTATGAAAATATGAAAAATGATGACATGATGTACTAAATGAAATTCTGTAATATGTCAAATGTTGAGTCAATGAAATAATGAATGTATGACCGCGATCATATGCACATATAACTCCAGGTGTGCTGCTTATGCCGCATACCAGTGATGTACTGAGATATTTTAGGTGTACCTTAGGGTCACCAGTGATGCTAGCAAGGTGTACCTTAGGGTCACCCACAACGTAACATGCTAACAAGGTGTACCTTAGGGTCACCCACGACGTAACATGCTAACAAGGTGTACCTTAGGGTCACCCACGACGTAACATGCTAACAAGGTGTACCTTAGGGTCACCCACGACGTAACATGCTAACAAGGTGTACCTTAGGGTCACCGGTGATGTAACAAGCTATGAGAAATGTGAAACTTTCGTATGGCGCCACATGCATGCATTTATGAGTCGAGTCCATGACATCATTGCATGATAAATGAGTGTATATGTGATATTGATTATGTATGTGTATTGTATATGTTGTGTGGGTGTGCTATCTAACCTTTATTTCTGCACCTGAAACTGAGTGAGATGTTTCTCACTCCCTTATTGTTCTTGTATATGTTTAAATTATGTTGCAGGTGATCATCATCGTGAGGATGTTGGTGATGAGGCTTAAGACTTCAGTTGGGCATGCTCTGATAGGATGTGACATCAGGCATATCTAGGCTTAGTTGGGATATTATTGTTTTAAAAGACTTAGTTTTATTTTATTTTGTAATTTTGAACGTTAATGATAAAAGACCAAAATGTGCATCTTTGTCATATTATTTTTATTACATGATTTGGAAGTTAAAAATTAATTCCTAACTAGGAGGCACTGTCACCTTTGTTGGAATTAATCTATATTTTTTCTTTATATGATTTCTTGAGTTTTGATACTTACATGTTGACTTTTTATGATTTATGAGTTACGAATGTGAATCTTCTACCTTATGATATTTGAGACAATTGTTTTATACATGAAAGATGTTATCAAACTATGAAAGATTTTATTTACTTAAAAAGAAAGAAAAAAAATCCATTGTTTACATTTATTGTGTATTAATGTTGGGGTAGAGTGTGAAGTCCCACATCGGCTAGTAAGGTGAACGAAGC